CAAGCCCCTATATGAGATTTCTTTTTCTCAAAGTTCTCTTGTAATGGATCACGTTGGATGTTTGGCCTTGGATGGTCCAGCTGCCTTTTCCAGGATGGGTCTTGGTGACTTAATAATTATGAACAATGAAAAATGCATCCATGAAATACTTGACCTCTTTTGGAGACTTAGGTAATATATAACACACAACTTCTTCACACACACCAAGTTTTTATACAAAGCCTCATGGTAGTTTAAAAACTTATAGTAGTGGTACATGCTCATTATAGCAAATTTAGAAATTTTTAATAGAATAAAAAAATAAAAGAACTCCATAATTCCGCCACCCAGAATAACTTCTGTTAACACTTTGGTGTATTTTTTTTTTTAGATTCATACACACAGACTCAATAAAATATTTTGGATCATAAGATATATTTAGTTTTCATCCTACTTTCTTTAACATTTTCCCATGTCATAAAAATTTCTTTAAGACCTTTTTTAGTGGCTATAAAATATTCTTTCATACGACAGCATAATTAGTTTAACTTTTCTACTGTTGTACATTTAGTTTGATTATTTAAAAATTAAGTATTAACTTTAAATTTTAGAACACATTTTTGTGCAAAAGCACTAATTTGTTAGCATAGACTTTTAAATCAATATATATGCATGTAAAGACAGTTTGGGTCAACTTATTGATACAATTATATTACTTTATATTAGTTTTCTAATTCAAAGCCATTACCCTTAAATGTCACTAAATTTTCTCTTGATCCTGTTTTGCTTGTGGCTATATAAAAGCTCTTTTTAGCAACTATCTCATTCTTTTTTAAGAGTTTTAAGCTCAAGGAAAATATTTTAAGTCATTTTTTTGGAAGCCAAATCTCATATGCTGCACCAAATTAAGTATCATCCACAGATGATAACCGATGCAAGGTACCATCTGGGAAATTAATGTTTTTTCTTCTTTTGTTTGATTTACTAAAACTTTAGTCAAAGTTACAGTATTTCCATTTTGATTTTGTTACTAAAAGTAACTGGTCTAAAATAATTTCTCCAAATCAAAGAATATCAGGTAGAGTCCCTGATATTTTATTTGAAGTTTAATGTTTGTGTTGCTGCCGTTGATGAGGGCCATATTTCTCAGGTTACCATCACTATTCAAAAGAAAAGTCTGAATGCATGACCTTGGCATCTAATCCATTGCTGGTACAATACCAATCAAATTCCTTCTGGATCACTCACTTTACATCATATGTAAACTAACAGAAACTCCTTAAGTCTAAATGAAGTGATAGAATATTCCATAATATAGCAAATTAGTTACTGGTCATGTCAAGTGGATCATGACATAGCCAAATGTATTCAGCTTGAATTCAGAGGGTGGTTTAGGTTCTGAAAGCCCTGACTGACCACCTGAAGATTTCACCAACAATTTCAGGGGAAAAATACCATCCTTAAAGTGGATTAGACTATCCATGCTCTCTTACCTGTGGATAAAGGTGGATTAAAAATGTCTGGACAGTATAAGACCCCATTATTATAGTTTCTCTTCTGAGTTTAGTTTCCCTTTGTAAACAGAAATAGTCTGCACCAGCCAACACATTCTGCTTAAGTGAGTGATGTGGATGAACTGGAAAAAGTAAATAAGAGATCATTTAGTGCTTCAGACAGAAAAACATATTCACCAATCCAGATAATTATTGGTAGCTATTTTGGATGCATTGATTTTCAAAGAGAAAGCAAAGCTCTAACTTTCTGATCTCCATTGAGAGAGAATACCATTGTGTTCCTTTTATACAGGGAGAAAAGGAGGCAGGCACAAATTAAGTGACCTGGCCATTGCTGTAGTTGGAGACATGATGGATCAGAATTTGGAGGGTGCTAGGGTTACTTTCAGCTCAGATCCTGGAGCGAAGGATGAGACCGTGCTCAACAGAGCATTGGATCTAAAGGGAGGATCCCGCAGCTTTATTCTTTGTGCTGTATTGTTTCTACTGAAAACAGAAACATGATATTTGCAAGTAAAAAAGAAAATTGGCTAATACAACTCCTGAAATCTTTGAAAAACTTTGGATCGTTTGCAGCTTGATGCTGTAAAATGTAGCTGGCTCATTCTCACTTAGCATTGGTTCATTGCGATGTATCTGGTTGGCCCAGCTAGGCTTGGGGCTCAGTGTGGGCCCACAATATTAGTGAGAATGTGTTTAAATGGAGCCACAAAAGGCATCTCTGGCTTTTCTTCAACACTGCAGGTTAGAAGGCACCAAAATGTTATACATTTTGTTACTCATTTGTTCTTTCTTTTATTCATCAGTTATGTCTTGATTTTTTTTGTTTATCATTTAGTCAACCAAACATTCCCAAATACGAGAATGCTTATGCTCATTTCAAACAGGCAAAAATTAACATATGTCATGTGACTTTAAGGAAATTGCTCAATCTCTCAAAACCTCATGTTTCTCATCTCTAAAAATTGGAATAATAAAAGCCCTACTCCAGAAAGTTTCTATTTGGGATTAAAAGAGATAAAAGTTGCATAGAACATGGCACCATGCCTAGGATGTAGTTAGTGCTCAATGATAGCCAGGGTTGTCATTCTTGTTTCTAAATACTTATGTTGTGGTATAATTAATTTTTCTGCTTGATCATACATGTAAACTCTGTGAAGTAATTGAGAACACTGTTGAAATGAGAATTAGACAGAGCCTGACTGGATTATGATTTTTACAGGAATGTAACACTGAAGATATGGTGAGCTCTACTATCTAATTTTAAATAAAAACGAGATTAGTTTTAAAACACTAAACTTGCATGCTGAAGTCAGAGGCAGTTTTCTGAAAATAATAACTCCTGCTTTGTCGGTTTTCTAAACACCTGTTTACTTGCTCTATCAGGTAATCCAGCCATGGAATTAGCAATCTGTAAGGCTGATGTGCTCATAAATTAGAGTGTAAGGCCTTATAGGCCTGGTTAGTATCTTGCAGGAATTATGTAAATAGCCCAAATGCATATAAGGATTGTGAGTCAAAAAAAGTAGAGAGTGTGACTGAATTGAATGCTAAAATCGTAAAATGCTTTTTTTTCTTTGAGGATTAAACTTTTTTCCCATATGAATATTACTTAGATTTGATAATAGAAGTAAATGGGGGAAATAGATTCTGTACAAATTTTTAAAAATGAATCTACACATCAAGGCAGATCAAACTGAATGACATTAATTAAGAGAGATTTTATGTGAATATCATATTGTTGTGCATGGAGTGAGGATAACCCTAAAAAAGATCATAGATGGAGTAACAGTTCTGAAGAGCAAGGTGTGTGGGTCACTGACCTTGGAATTAATAAATATACTTGTAGAGGAATTCAAAATTGCATAAATGACTACGGAAGAGCCCCTCAGCAGATGATAACTAGCCTGCTGCAAAAGGAACCCTGGGGGGCTGTCCCGGTGGCGCAGCAGTTAAGTTCACACTTTCTGATTCGGTGGCCCGGGGTTCGCTGGTTTGGATCCCAGGTGCAGACATGGCACCACTTGGCAAAAGCAAGGCTGTGGTAAGCGTCCCACATATAAAGTCAAGGAAGATGGGCATGGATGTTAACTCAGGGCCAGTCCTCCTCAGCAAAAAGAGGAGGATTGGTAGTAGTTAGCTCAGGGCTAATCTTCCTCAAAAAACAAACAAACAAACCAGGAGCCCTGGGTTGGAATTACAACTGATCTCAATCACATTTTAATATGGAATGAGTGGACTCCATGAGAAATGTTTGCCTCTAGTGGAACAATACATAAGACCCAGTGGAAATACTCAGCCTTTTGGACCTGTATCACAGAAAAAGCTCCACATATCTCAACTCAGCAGACTACTAGATAATTGTAGGGGCTGAGTGGCGGAGTGTGCGTGCAATGGCCTGGGAGTCAGGGCCAAGGTTTGAGTTCAAGTTCTGTTCCTGACTAAGACTAAAAGTGCTACTCACTGGCCCTGGGCTTTCTTTGCTATCATTATTAGTTTTTGGCCTGGGCTAACTACTTTCTCTAAGCTCAATTTCCTCATCTCTAAAAAGGATTATATTCCTCTCCACTTGAGCTGTTGCAGAAGTTGTGGAAGGCTACTGAAGATCACTGAGCACCGGGCTTAGACCATAGTTAAGAGCTGGGTAAATATTACCTGTGATTCTCCTTTTTTGTCAATCAAATATTTTTATTTGAAAAATTTAGCTATGTTCTAGTTAAAAATCTAGAATGATTTTAATTGATCCAATTCAGAAAGTTATTCACCAAAAACCAGTTGCAAGGAAGGTTTTACTCAATTGGAAAAACCTAATACCTAATCTTTTATAGGCCCAATAAAAACAACTGTCCAGATTATTTTGGCACACAGTTATTTTTTAGATGGGGATGTTCTAGAATCAGAGTGGCTTAACAAATTTAAGATAAGTGGCATGAAGTGAATAAAAATGCATGTGAGAGGGCATCAGGTCCCAGTGTTTTAGTCCTGTCCCCGCTACTGATGAGCTGTTTGACTTCTTGGAAATTGAGTAACCTCTCTGAGTCCCATTTGCAAGATAAAGGGGTTGCACAGTGTGATTGCTAAAATTCTTTGTTGTGCTCTGAACCTGAGCTGCCCAGTATGGTAGCCACTAGCCACACGGGACTATCGAGCATTTACAACATTACTGGAAATTGAGAAATGACGTAGGTGTAAACTACACACTGTATTTTAAAGACTCTGTATGAAAAAGCTAACATAAAAGTTCTCATTAGCGATTTTTTCATTTTGATTGTGTGTTGGAAAGATATTATTTTGGGTATGTTTGCTTAAATAAATTGCTAAAATTACTTTCACTTTTCCCCCCTTTCTTTAATATGGCTACTAGGAAATTTTGAATGACACATGGCTTGCATTTGTGACTGCATTCCATTTCTATTGGACAGTGCTGCTCTAAGAACATTCTGAGGTTGTGAAATAAATTTTAATGAACGTTTCAGTTAAACTATATACAGAGCTAGATTTCAGATCTGCTGTGAAATTTTTGATAAGCTGATAGAGCTGGTGGCTCCCTTCCCTCTGGTCGAAGAGGTGGATTTGCATGGGCGGATGCTGCCTTTGAGGAAGTGGGTGAAAGGAATGGAAATGGACTAGATTAGAGTCCAGTGCAGACAGACAGAGACTGCAGACAGAATCTGATGCGGCAGTTGGTGGAAGGAGGATTCTGGGACGGTGGGGTAGATGTGATGCTCCGTTAACGGTTGGGGAACAGCACCTGACACATAGAAAGGGAGAGAGCCATTCGCTCACCTGTGAATGCAGCATGACATCACTGTGGCACTACCATCAACTGGCAGCTTGGGGAGCACGGGAAATGGCCCACTTGAAAGGATTCTGGGGTCCTCACGGCAGACATCCATGACAGGTACTTCTCGGGCATAGGTTTGAAGGATGGGGGAGGGAAAAACAGAGCACAGAGCAAGCCTCATGGGGAATGAGACTGATAGGCCAGTTCATAAACTACGAAATAACACACATAATCAGGTGGCACTTTGCAGAGTACTAATGTGTATGTCCCAAAACATGGGTCTAATAACACTTTGGATCTTAGTGTTAATAAATATTCCCTTTGGACATAAGTCTGGTGAGGCCCAGGGAAGATTTTTAGCTAACCAGCAATAATAACCTTTTAAAAATAAAAGTCTCTTGAAAGCAATGACACGTCAGGTTTTCCATACTGTGGCGAAAGGAAGGCAGTAGGCTCCTAGCGTTGTGACCAGGTGGTCTTGGGTGGGAGGCGGGCAACGAGGAGGAGGAAGGAAGTGTTGACAGACATACACTTGGCTACTTTTCTGTTGCCTTTTCTGTCACTTTATGGCCCGTGGAGTATAAATGGAGGTCACAGAACTTCCTTCTCTGGGACACAGGGATAATATTCTTGAGGCAATGGCAATGTTGAATGCTAAGTCACACCATTTCCCAAGCCTACCAGTAAAAGAAAAATTCAAATTTTCACTTTGTGGTAAGTGTTTGTGTTTAATTTTTTTATATGTATTAGTCACATGGCTTTGATTGTCTTCTTACTGTTGTTAATGTGCAGGCTGATCTGTGATAAACTGTAAATGATTAATCAAAGAGATGAAAACACCAGCTTTCTTCTCAGTTTTCCAAATTATTTAATTCTTAAGCTTATTTTAGAGTTTAGAACTGGATCCAAAAAATTATGAAAAATAAATGTCACAAATCTGCAAATCACAAGTGATGCCATGTATTCTTAGATGAATCCAATGAGCCCTTTTGGGAGGGTTCCTGGAGTCATCATGTTCAGGGTCAGACTGACCACTAAGAAATGTTTCCCAACTGCTAGCACAGAGGTGAATTTTTAGCTCCTCGATTGTGAGTGACGGCTTTGTCTTCCTTGATAACATCAGCTGGCCTTCCATGACTCTCACTGGTTCTCCCTTTTCTCATCTCCCTCAAGATAACACACAAGAAGATAAAGAACCAACTAGTGTTCAGAATAGGCTGGGGAACACTACCCTATAAGGCGCATAGATATTATGGGACAGGAGGTGTCAGTCACTGTACTAGGCTCTAGTACCCAGCATTGAACACAGCAGATCTCTTTCCAGAAGGAGGACACAGGAAAGAAACCATCACAAAAGCAAGTAAACCAAGCAAGTGAAAGAGTAGCTTCACAACAACTTCTGCTACTGATAATGGCTAAGAAAAAGGCAAAATAAGGTAAATCTGAGAAAGTGGCTGGGAGGGCCACTTTTGCAAGGTAATCAGGGAAGCTCGTCTGAGAGGTGACATTGGCGTTGAGACATAACTGATGAAAAAGAGACAACCAGAGGGCACTTCTTTGAATGTTTTTGATGACTGAAGACTTCTTGGGGGGTGGGAGGGACCTCATGAAAAGCATTTAAATTACCACGAACTATGGAAGCTCTACCATAATTTGCTTGTTTTAAAGAAATAAGCATTACTTTACAAAAATAATGTTTTAGAGTATAATCCGTACGTGTTCTACATACTCTATATTTTACTCTGTTTATACGAAAACAAAAAAACCCAGCAGGATAGGATGAGTATAAGAAATGATGAAAATACAGAGGTTTAAAGATACGGACTGTTTTTGCCCAAAGTGACCCAGCCAGGAGGTGGCAGAGCTGGGAACCAGCAGAATCTGTTATTCCATGTTTTGTGCTCTTTCAACATCAGAGCCTCTGCCATGCCCTTTCTGCTTTAACAGGGATCACAAACCCAGAAGCCAACAGAGGCCAACAGAGTAACACAGTAAGTGGGGTTGTCCAGTGGGACTGTAGTGAAAAGAGCAGAACTGCTCTATTCTTAGGGAGCGTTAATGACTCAGTTTTAGCTTATTTTGCAGATGCAGGGCTCCCAGGTCTCTGACTTTTAAGGAGAAGCTGGAAACCTGGATCTTTAGGCCACATACCAAAATATTTTAAATGTTAGCAATTAGCACAAATACACACACACACACACCCCCACTCCATCTGTCAGCAGGATGCTGTCCAAGGGCCGTCAGTGTACACTCTGATATTTCTGGGATCAGAAGTCCTTCAAATAAACAGCCCTGTTTTGGACATCCTGAAGCCATTTTTCACAGCTTTCGTGGTCTTTCTCTTATCTGAAAAAGTGCAGTTGCTCTCCTGGCTCACTAGGACATCCATGCTTTCTTGAGCAAAGAATTTGGGTTTGAGTTCGGTGCTCCAAAAGTACTACCACAAGGGGGAGCACCACCATTTTTTACTTTTTTTTAGGTTTTACATGAAGTTAACCCGAGTTAATGCACTGAAACTATTCTCCTATGACATTTTAGGTCCCTGCTGAGACTGCCCATGTGGCTTGATTTTGTTAAGAATTATTTCGCTAACTGTAAAAACAGACAGCAAACAACCTTCCTAAAACCCATCATAATAGCATTTCAGTCTCATTTATTTGTGTTTCATTGTCTTAATTTAATTTAATTTAATTTGATTGTTTTACCACGATATGTGCTCCAGGCAGAGGTAGAGGAGCAAGAAGAATATATAGTTTGGAACCATTGGGGTCCCATAAGCTTACAATTCAAATTTTAAATTTAAAATAGAAAATAAAAATACAAAAACAAAACCAGGATTCTCTGAGAGAAGAAATGTGTTTTTGTTTAGGTAAAGGAAAACCAGTGGTTAGTCCCTATGCACTGAGGGACCTACAGACGCCTCTCCCCCTCAGGCTCTAGTCCCTTCTTAGGTTTCCAGCTTTTTCTCCTCTGCCGCCCTTGGACTCTCGGTGAGCCTCGCTCTCCCAATGCGTCAGTCCCCACGCCCGCCCTGAGCTGAGAGGCGAGCGGTTGCTTCTGCGGTCTGGAAGGTGCTTTGTTGGCTGCATCTAGAATCCAGTTGTTTCCTGTTTCTGTTTTTCAAATAACAACTCTTGTTTCAAGCCTCAGCAGGAAGTCTTTCCAGGTCTTCTCAGTCCGCTGTAATAACCTAGTCTTCCCTCATGGTAATAACTCGAACGGAGGCTCGGAGCCCCTCGGGGGTTCACGCATGCGGTCCTCACACTAGAGGTCGTGCGAGGGGCCTCCTCATCTTGCCAACGTGCCGTGAATGCGGAGAGGCTGCACGGCTAAGGATAACGGCGCCGGAGCCGAGCTGGTCTGGTCTGCTGGGTTATGCCAGATTGGTACAGCTCAGGCCTGGTGGCCTTATCTTGGCATTGATAACTTCTCCTCCTTCTTCTCCCCTTCCTCTTCCTCCTTCTGCTTATCATCATCATCATCACAGCTACTTGCTTATGTGTCTTTTTACCCCATTAGAGTTTGAGCTCTTGAAGACCAGAGGCCAAGTCTTATCTCTGTGCGAGCCTGGGGCTGTCCCCACAGCATAGGGAGAGGTGGGACGGATCCATGGGGAAGAGAACAAGCTCCGAGTCCAAGGTCCCCTGGCTTCCCAGCTCTGCCACGTGTTAACTAGGTGACCTGGGGAAACACACATTGTCTTGTAGCCTTAGTGTCCTTCCTGTAAAGTGGAGAATAACAGCGCTTGCCCCAGGGGCTCAGTGAGCAGTGGCTGCGTTAAAGTCTGTGAAGGGCTCCGTGTCCGGTCTGGCACATGGAACTCCAAATGTGCGGGGGATTGTTATAGCAGACATTTGGCATGGATGATCTTGTTGAATTGACATTCCTGGAATTCCGACTGTGACATAGCTCATGGTTTTCAAGACAGTTTTTTAAGCTTAATAGAAAAATTCTAGCTAAATTGTTAATATTTTACTTTCAATTATCTTTAGAATAAAGACAATTTAAGAAGTAGTTAAGTGATAACACAGGCTTGACTTCAATTTACATTTCTAATCCTGGAAAATACTCTTGATGAGTAGCACACAAAACACACAGATTTTGAATAACTGGATCCCAATTTCATCTGCACTATATGCAATGTAGTGTAGATTCAATTTTATATGCAAGTGAGCAGGTACATTTCAGATGAGAAGACAAGACTATTAACCTTGGTCTGTTTTTCTTATATCTGATTAACATCTCAGTCTCCTATTAACTTCTGCTAAGATAATTCTTACAATGTGCCTGAAGAAATTTTAAGCTTCCTGTTAAAGCTGATTCTTTACTCTCCAATTGGTTGAAGTGTAAAAGGATAACAAACGTGTGTAGTTATTTTATAAAAGGTTGTATATCAGGGTTCTGAAAGAGAATCTAATCTTCAATTACAACGTAATCTTTATGGAAAATTTGAGTTTGCATAATTTTGACTCACAGGAAAGTAGTCAGTCCCAAGTAAAAGCATCCTCTGTTCCTTTGTGAAGTGTCTCATCCATTAATTTATTTGACATATATTTGCTGAGTGTCTATCATGTGCCAGACACTGTTCCAGCTACCGGTGTGCTTCCCACTTTGAAAACAAAAGAAATCACAATAGGTATATTTTCTTGCTAAACAATCAAAATCAAGTGGAAAGATGAATAATCAGAAAAGGTAAATTAAGACGGTTGACAGTTTCGATACCTTAATAGTTTACAAGGAAACTAAGGAGAGTTAGTCTAAGAGGCTTCTGAGTGTGGGTCTCTCCCTCTCTCATTGGCCTTGTCTAGTCTCAGACCTAGGCTCTCATACTCCCTACTGCCACCTGGTGGCAACCTGCTGTCTTCTCAGACGCTGCTGCATGGAGTGAGTCGGGGCGGGACTGGTCAGCCTGTTTCCCTGTGCCACAACTACATCCTGCCTTTCACCACTTCCGAGCTTAGATCATTATAGGGTTTCCAAATTCCCAGAAGAGACTAATCTTTGGGATTTGGGAATGAAGAATCAGAATTCCCAGGAATTGTGAAATGATGTTATTCTGTACATTAAAAGATACTTTACATATTTTTAATTAGTAGTGTGATCATAATAATAAGCAG